GTGTAGCCGGCCGGATAGCTCAGTTGGTCTTCTGAAAGTCATGGGTTCGAGTCATGATCAGGCAGTTTCAGTCAGGGTTTAGAAGTGGTTTTTCAACTGACACATGTTTGATTCATTTAATAGATTGCATTTAATTTGAAATGGACAAAGGCAGTTTTGCTTGATACTTTTAAATCTACAAAAAGCATTTGGTACAGTTGATCACACTAAACTGCACATGAAGAAGTTCTTTTTTCTTCTTCTTCATCTCTTCAAGCATCTGCCATATGTAATGACATTCTTGCATGGTTCAAGTCTTATCTATGATAGCAGCTGGTGAATGTGGCTGGTACTCCTTCTCTCTGAATACCTATGGTGTCCCCCTGATGTTCATTTTAGGTCCTCTTTTATGTATGACATGTCTGCAACCCTTAGCAATAAGCTTTTATTATATGCACAGGCACAAGTATCAGACCTGGGAAGAAAAAATATTACCAGATTGATAAAAAAACCTGTGTTCATCTTAAAAGTGTCACAAACCAAAAAAAATGTAAATGATGACCCCCTTTAAAAATATACTTTAAGTTAATAGTATATTTTTAAAGGGGGTCATTATTTACATTTTTTTTTTTTGGTTTTTGACACTTTTAAGATGAACACAGATTTTTTATTAATCTGGTCATATTTTTTCTTCCCAGGTGTGATAGTCTTGTGCCTGTCATTATATGATGATGACTCAGGTATCCTTGTATCTGGTAAAGTAAATCTTAAGATTGGTTTATTGACTATAAATTGTCTTTGCATCTTGGCAAGACAGAGTCTATTCTTTTTGGTTTAAGTTTCAACATAAACTGGGCCAAGCCTCCAGGTCACATGAAATGGTACTGCTATAAAGTACACATCTTTTGTTAAGTATTTAGGTGCAAACCTGGATCAAATTCTTTTGGCGTCGCCCTTTGATGCTTTGCATCAATGCTTTTCTTGTCTTCTTTTCCAAGGATATTGGGTATTATGTCCAAATATTTTGCTTTGCAGCTGACCAACCAGTGATACCTTTAGATTCAGGCCAGCCTGCACATCCATGCTGCTGAGTCTTATTGTTGGTAACTCAATTTTTGTACTTTGATCCCTTAACCCTTTCCCCCATGAGCATATTGTGGAAAATGCACTGAAAAGCCTCCTGTTACAAGTTCAAACTGCTATGAAACTATGAAAAATGCTTCAATACTAATTAAACTTGGCACAAATGTTGACTGGACCATTGCCTTTGTAACGACATGCTCAGTCTTAAATTTCCTGTTACCATGGCAACGAGGGGGCATCTCAAAATTGCCCAAAATCACTATTTTGCCTCGATTTTTTCCATCAAAATTTATTTCAAAGTGCTGCAACTTCTCAAGGGATTGAGATAGAGTCAAAGGCTTTTCAGCGTTGGTTACACGTTACATTATGATCGACCTGGGGTCATTTTTAGCCTCTCACAAGTCCAAAATTTTCTTTGCGATGAGGGGGACTCCGCCCCCCTTCAAACCCCCCTAACAGAAGGGGGCACATCCCCCTTCTGGCAACCCCCTGATGTATCTTTTGGATGGGGAGCGGCGCCGAAAAAGTGCTCAATTTTTTAAGCAACATTTCTCAAACGAAAACATGTGTTTGGGGCCCAAATAGGATATTTTTTCACTCTTTGAGGCCTAAAAAAAGGGGGGGGGGTGGGGTCGAAAGTGCGTTGTTTGGCGTATATATGGGGTAAAGGGTTAACCGTCCAAACAGACTGTTACAAATTAGAGAAGGGTCTATAAATTATGCTTATTCAATGGTTAAATTAAGGATTTAAGTAGAATATGATAAATGTTTAAGTAAGACAAATTAATTTGAAGAATGTTTTATTGACAAATAAATTCATTAGGTAAAAAAATATAAAAGCTGCGGCCAATTACGATTTGAGGTGAAATAAGTCGCAGACACATTTTAATTATGCAATTTCCAGGGCCCGTAGATGCCGACGTTGCACATTTATCGGCTTCGATGTTGACATACAGACAAGTATAACAGACTATTGCAGATTAATGTTGACTCGGTGGTCTTTTAATTTTCCTACATCCTACATAATGTTGTCCGAACCGCAAGCCGCTGGAAAATTGACAAGAATATGCCAATTTGCGTGACGCTTGATTGGATAAACCAGTCTGTATCATTTAACAAGTTGTTTAACCATAATAGTTTTGACCTGTCAATGGTAATAATTGTTCAAGACCTTCCCATATAGTGTCAAGAAAGTTCAGAAGTTTAGGTGCTTGACTTGAGCGTCTTAACGAGAAATATTTAACAATCGTCTTAATATTTTGATAATCGAAATACCATATGAAATATATCCTGATGCACATGCATTGTTATGAACTTTGTTTTGTCTTTCTTTTAGGAAAGTGATTTCCCTGAACTTTTTTTAAAAAGGGGTTTTAGCTATTGTGGGGTTAAAGGCCCCCCGGGGAAAACAAATTTGGGGAAAATTATTCGACATTTTTTGGGAAAAATTTTAGAAAAATTTTAAAAAAGTTGAAAAAAATTTCCCTTTAAAACATTTACCCCTTTTTTTTAAAAATTTTTATCATGTGTATGATCATATATATAATCTGTCACCTTTTAAGAAACAGTCAAATCAGTTCAAGTTTTCTCACAAGTTGAACAGTTGGATTTTTTAGGGCTTGCTGTTTGGAAATATTTTGTTGTTGAAATTTTGTGAAAAAGAGGCTATTTCAGATTTGGAATGGGGCCTAGATATTTTAGCCCCTCTGAGGTGATAGGGTGAAAATGCCCTGTGGATATTTTACTGCGATAAATTCAAAACATATTAAAAGGTTATTCTGCTAAAACTCTGTTCAAGGTACAGTGTATGCACATGTGATTCTTAAAACAGGTATACATTTTGTTCTATGAATCATATTTAAAATGGTTACCATGGATATATATTGTAATGGTTCTTTTATAGGATATGATAAGACAAGAAGGATTTGATCAAGTGGTACAATTAGATTTTATTATCATTATACACATTTGGCAACTGTCTTCCAAACAGGTTTTTCCCCCCTTTGTCATTCAGTTACCTAACAATTTGACATAAAATACGCTAATTTGAATGATAGATATGTGTAGGTTTTCCGCATACTTTTTGGTTTGAAGTAGTATATTATTGTCATAAGTAGCGTAGTAGTTTTTAACCTTAATACAAAAAAAAGTAATATAATGGAATTGGATACTAGCTTTGATTACAAAAAGTTAAGCGCATTGTAATAAACGACTGAATTAAAAAAAAAACACTATTTTTTCTGCTCCTAAGGTTGTTTTTCTTTATTTTTTTATGGATCTACTTGTAGGATGTTGTTTATTTTTGTTTGTTCATGACTTTGCAATTATTCAACGATGGCAAAAATTTACTTTCCATATTTATTTGTGCAGATTTTTACGCACTTTAATGCAATTTTGTACTTTGTTGATGTTAACTCACTGATCAACTTCAGAAATTGCTTTGCTGACTCATTGATTATGTCCATTCTTTGCCTTATCTTCAGTCGTTTAACAGTATTTTAAGATATTTAAGGGTTTCATTCCTGAGCATACTATAAAATGTGACAGGTCCCAACAATGTAAAAGTGTGACCCTGATGGTGAAGCTTTAATTGGCTCGACTTTTCCCCTTAATTACATAGATTATATGTTATCTTGGAAAAGATACCGGCAACAGTGTAATTACGCTGGTTTACGGGCAGCGTTACACGTTTTCATACTTGTTAAATTAGAACAGTGGGCTTTAATTGATTTCTAAGATTTTTTTTTTGCTATTCTGTGCTGCAACACAGTAACAATTTGAGCGTAGGCTCATATTGTTTACTATCTTTTTTGCTTAGATGGACAATTAAGACTTTTATTACAGGATTTATTGTGCTTTGTGCCAAAGTTTTATCTTTTTCTGTGGAAAATAGTGTGTCGGATGTGTTAATATTCTATGTAACATTTTGTTGGTTGATAGGAATACCCTAGGTCTTTCTTTACTTATTTTTGCTTTCATAGCAACAGATAAAGATTTTGTTTCATTTATAAGATGATTATTGTCTTTTTTTCCAGCAACAAAAAATTTAGAGTGTTTTTATTTGTGAATATTGAAAGTAACCGAATTCTTAGCTTTTTTGTCTGAATTTTGTGCCTTTTGTGAGGATTAAGGCATTGGAGACGAATTTCATTTTTTTCATTACTGGTTATATGGATGATGCATCGATCTTATTGGTGAATGAGACTGTAGACCATTGGGGATATATCTTATGTCTGGTCATTAAGATTCTTTAGATGACTTTGAAATCATAATAAAAGAGGATTTAGTGTCTGTTTAAGGTTGTTGGTTTCCCCTTATAGAATGAGGTAGACTGTCGGAATGACTTGGGGAAAACAAATGAAAATGTCACATAACAAAATTATATACTTGGATGAAAAACATTTTTTTTTTGTATTTGACAACATGTGGATTTTTTTTCTGTTTTTTTTTCCTTTTATTTTGAGAAACAGAAACTCTTGTTGATTAGTATAATTGAAAATAGTGATTAGAAACATTCCTTGAAAAATATTTTTGTATCATTGGAGAAGATGCACTGTGCTTTAATGATGATTGGTAAAAATATTTTTGAATCATTTCGACAATAAAACCTCAGGAGTTTTTTGTATGTAAGTGCATTGGTGCTCGGTTATTTTAGTGCGTAACTGGTTTGGTTTGTAATTTGAACAGTGAAACGTATTCAGACGAAAGGAAAAAAAAATCAAGAAAAATTGCTCAAAATATATTTTATGATAATTTTGATTATATTAAAACAGTAGGAAAATGTTATTTAACTGGGTTACCTATGTATAACAGACATTCTTTGAACATGCTCTTTATCGTATTGCATGTACTGTGCTAATAAATTATAGTTAGCAAAAACAAAGATGTACAGTGTACGACTTTTATCTCAAAAATGTTTTTACATTCTGTCATTTCAGGGAAGGTATGTTTTGAATACAGACAATGCAGATGTGCAGAACAATGTTGTTGGATATATACATCACAGCAGATGCGGATAAAAAAATAACCGAGTTATATTACGAGTTATAGTATTAGGCATAGTGTTTAGCTTATAAAAGTGACTATAGTGCGAGTGTCAGTGTTAACGTAGAAATATTCAGAACAAGGAAAAACCATGCGGACAGAACTTTCTTAGGATTTTCCCTGGTGTTTTTTTTTGTTTTTGATTTTTTTTTACATATAAAAAAGAGGAGAAACCGATCTGTGCACATGTGTTAGGATTTTAAGCAAGGAAAAGAACCATGTGGACAATTCAATTTTAGGATTTGATGTGATTTCTTGGATATGTAATTTTGTTACACTGTGATATAGCAAGGAGGACTATGGAGTTAAGAGGGGAGATAATTGGACGGCTACTTGTCTTCGGTATCATATTTATACTCAGGGGTAAGTATATTAGTGTACTTTCACAGCTATCATTAAAACTATAAACTCCAGGGGGAGGGCGGTCTAACTGGCATGGTAAATAGTTTTTTCAGTCAAACTCCCTTGAGAGGTCTTTCACAATAACGAAAGGCAAAATAACATTACTATCAATAACAGTGTGTTGAACAAGAAATAAAACCACTTTTATCTTCAGATTAAGCTGATAAATTTTTGTTATAGCTTTTTTCTGAATCTTGAATCTTTTTAGGTTTCTTATTTAAAGATCTTTGTAAAAAAATTTTTTAAAGTTTGTTTAAGGGTTTATAATAGCTTAACTACTTTAATGCTGGGCTTACAATATATTTTTAATGAAGATCTCTTTATAATTTTTTGTTCTATTAGAAGATATGTTAAAAATACCTATTTCACTTTAGTTCCTTCTTTGTTGAATGAGATTTAAGTATGACTATTAGATCTTAAAATATAAAACGTTTTCTGAAAGACTAACTCGATTCATGTTTCAAGCAATGATCTCTTTTGAAAATTCAGGTAACTAAATCTATGCACAAGATTTTAATGATTAATAAACATTTCTAAGTTTTAATTTAATCAAAACTTGATCAGAGCTCAAAAAACATATGTTACGAATTCCTACCACAGAGGTTTTCTTTGTGTAAATGCATGAATGTTTTTACCTGTAAATTATCTTTTGAACTCAAAAGCTATCTTAAGAAATTAACTTTTATTAATTTGTCCGTTATGGTTGGTTGATGCTCTGATAACTGATCTGGATTGATAGTTCTGGACGCTTTAATCATCATCAAAGGGTTGAGTGACCCCAGGGACTGTAACGTTTTATTACATTACCTCTGACAGTTGTTACTTAGCTTTTAGATTTAATTGTTTGTAAGCCATATTCTCCCCACAGCCTCTCAATTAATCAACATACCTTTAGTTACAATGCAAAAGGAAAGAAGGTGTTAACATATCATTTTCTTCATTAGTGTTAATTATATCTAGGAAGTGGGAAATCAAATACTTTAGTTCTGTTTAAAGTGACCTTGGCATGAAGCTCTGAAACATTATTGTATATTAATGATGATAAATGGATGATGGTAGTTCAAATAGGTGGAATCTAAATTTAACCTTTATGCCTTTCTGAATTTATGTAATGAATAAGTTTTGCTTTGAGTTTTTAACTTTCTGTAGTTTTCAAAGATTTTATAGAATCAAAATTTGTAACTTGTCATGAAATTGCAGGCTGGTCACGCCTGTTTGCAAATAGATTATCAGTCATTTAAATATTGCCAGTAACGTTCTTGGATCTAAATCTTCAGATTTTTCATTATAACAATGGTATTAAATGTATTCAAAATGTAAATTTTTATAATGCAGGATAGCCAAACCTGATAACAAAAATGACCAGTTTAAAATTAGTCATACCAAAAGTGACCATTTTGAAATTTCTTGTTGCCTTACAGTCATGGGATAGTTCCACAACTTAGGTCAAAAATGTGTCTTTTTGGGTCATCTGATTATTAGTTGTGTTCAATCACAATACTAAGCCTTTCCTGTGAGTCCATGTACACTTCGACTTCAAACCTCTTTCCCCTAAAAAATCGAAGATTTGCCAGCTATTTCGCCTTTCATATATACTATTAAACCGAACACATGCTTGATTAATTCTTTACCTGACTGATCAGTATTAGAAAGGACCGAATATAATGTTATATGTCAAATTGAAATGATGGGATAAACATGTTGGTTCAAACCCATTCTGGTGCAAAAATTATTAGTTTTGTATCAATAAATAGCAAGTTAGTTTTATAGTGGCTAGACCATATGATGTTAGACATCTGTTATGATGAACATGAGGATTTTAGCCATTAACAGGAAAATGAAAGTAAAGTGTTATAGCTACTCTTCCATTTCTTTTTTTGTTTTTTTCTTCATTTTACTCTTAAAAAATGCTTAGAAATATTTCTGCAGATGTACCAAATAACTTGAACTGTAGTATATTATAAAGCAATACATACACTTTATTATGCAATACACCTATGTGAAACAGATTGTGTGTATTTATAGAAAAGTGATGTCTGCAGACTACATTGAAGGTTTGGAATTCGGTGAATTGTCAAAAAAAATATTAATAATTGATAAAAAAATTGCACATACTTTATGAAATGTGATGTTGAACAATGATTAATAACTACTCAACTCTACAGATACACTGTGATATAAATTTAAAATTATGAAATACTGAATTTTTCAGTAACACTTTGAATTTTCATTATTAGAAAAAATCTTTATTATATTTGAAGCTGATATTGAACATTAAAATTGTTATCACTATTGTAAACTGTTATAGTTACGTAAAATTTTCATTAAAAAAAACAAAAACAATGTTACAGCAACAACAATAAATAATATAAAACATCAAGTCATTTTCGACATTTTGTATGTAACTCATTATGTCCCCCTGTTTCTAATTTGACCAAAATTGCTAAATTCATCAAGTTTTGAAGCTTTCTTTTGTTATTTTCATATTCAACCCTTAGTTTCCCCACATTTGTGATACAAGTGAATTATTTGGCATTTATTCCAGTAAGAAAAGAAAAAAAAAGAAAAGAAATAGTTTTTTCTAAGTAGATCAACGTTTTTTTTATGAAATAAAAAGGTAAAGTCTTTCTTGAAATTCAAAAAAAAGAAAAAAATGTAAGAAATTTTGAAGACTTCTCAAGAATTTAGTCTCAATATTTATAAGTTTCAACTGGTTGATCAATCTCAGTGTGGCATGTTGCATGTTTAATACCTTGTCATAAAACTTCTTTGTAAGATAAACAATTTGAAATATGTACAAAATAAATATCAGGGTATCCATGATTGAAAAGATTATGCTTGAAGATGAATGATTGAAACATTATAAATTAACAATGCACATTTTATAATGCCTGATAATTTCATAAAATGTTCCAAGAGATTTTTTATTGGTGACGATAAGGACTTTGAATTATTTCCTGCGTGGAGGCTGTAACAAGCTGCAAGACTATTCAGGTACAAATTTGCATATGCACAACTTAATTACCCATAAAACTCTTAGTATCTTAATTGCACTTGTCCATTTTTCAATCAAGACAAAACCATTCATCATTTTGAAAGAAAATTTCAAAGTAAATACTGGCTGTGTAGAATAAGTTCTGATTGAAAAGCCCCACAATGCAGATCATAAGTTGCCGGCACAGGTAATGCCGCCTGTTCTTGAACTTTGCTGGGCTTGTGGGTTGTAGTTTTTGCTGCCAGCAGGCTATAGGTTTAAGTTTGAAAGTCAAACATTGTCAGATTTGATTCATTTTGGGATTTTACACATTGTGGCTATCAGAACAGAACGGATTTTATCAGATGTACCATCTCGGCATGACCTGCTTGGCCTGCAACAACTCCTTTATTTTTGTCATGATATATTAATCAGTTCTTTAGCTGTTGTAGCACATACTGTATTTGTGTACTGACATTGATGATCTTGTTAACATTACATTATCATTGCCTGACTCCTAACCATTAATTAAGTAAGATGAAAACACACCATTAATTGAGTTAGGGGAAAAAACGACAACCAGATCTGGGTCTTTGAAATGGCTGAAACATGAAACTTTGTTGAATTCCTATTAAAATAAATAAGTGTGGGTAGTAATTAAAGAAAAAGTGATCATTCATGTTCAAGGTAATTGATGACATGTAAGATGTGATCATTAAATTGATGGGGGATAAAACCAACCAGATTAGGGTCACAAATGGTTGGAAACTAGGTAAAAATTAGGCTTTTATCATCAACACCTAAAGAGCCAAGCTGATATTTCATTTTCATTTCTAAGTTAATTAATGAGTTATGTCAGATCTGGTTTAAATCAAAAGATGTAATTTTGTAATGAGGAGAGATGCAGATAACATTTTTTCTTTCCAAAGTAAAAACAGGAAATATGCAATAAAAAGTCATTTCCCACTAACAGAAAATATGCAATAAAAGCACCCATTTCATGTTTGCTAAATGTTTACATCATATGAACTGTTTAAGCTAATAGCCTTAGTGAAATTTGTTTTATTGCCAATATTATGCGAGAGTAGCCTAAAGGTAAGGGTCTATAGATGGAGGGTCTATAGATTGAATAGAAATCTTGTTAATGTTGTGTCCTAGTTGTATGTGTTCTTCAGACTTGATGACTATGTGCTTGATAGAAGGTTATGATTTTAAGACTGGTTGACAAGTTATCACTTTAACTTGACTAGCAAGGTTGTGTCTTTGGCATAGTATTTCAGTGAAGCAACCCGGTTAGCTCAATAAGTAACGCGTTAGACTATGAATCTGGCCATTCAGGCTCAATTTCTTGACAGTGCAGGTCACTTTTGTTGTTATTGATAATGAAAATCTTTTCTATGTTCATTCCCACTGTACCTCTGCTCTGGCATATACAGAAGTTTCAGATCCAAATTTAGTACAGATACAGCTAGTACAGATAAATTGCTTGACAGCCTTCTCAGGATCGATGCAGTGGCTAAACAGAGCTCTGGTAACTTCAGTGTGGGTTACTGCTTTGATCCAGAGTGAAACTTACCAACATCACCGCCACATGTCTATGGCATAGTATTTCAATGAAGCTATGTGTTTTTGGCCATTTCTTTTGCACCAAAATCGTGCTTCAAGCCTTAGTATCTGAAAGTTTTTTTCTCTACTTACCTTTGAAAAAACTTTTACAAAACTGAAACTATCAGCCAAGATCTGATCGTCAGAGCTGCAGACAAACAAAATGGTTATTTTTTTGTGTGACAGACCACATTATATTGTTTAGATTTAAACATTAATTAAGTAAAAGCACATTGTACCCAGTTACATAACCATGCCCAGTGACCTGGAAGTTTCATGCAGTCAGATCAATCAGAGGAACTGATAACTGATAATGGAAAATAAGAAGAAAAAATCTGCCTTATGGTCTTTTATGTCTAGCCATTAATAGTCTATTAGAAAGTAAGGAAGTGGAGGACGGGTTTGTAATGATGTGTGATAATGGAGTCAATGAGGCATGGTAATTATCAGGGTATAGGATTCCGATCTAGGGTGTTTATGATAATGATGCCATCTATTGAAGTGGAGATAATGAGTTAATGTGGGAGATGTTAATCAGTGGCATTGCTGCAGCTGTCCCTGTCCAGTCTGTCCAGTCAGATAATACTAATTGGTTCTATGAGCACACTTCCCTATCCTATGTTTCTACTTATATTGTATATACAATTGATGCATTTTAGAATAACTTTGAGATTAAAGTCAAAATCCTCAGTTTATGCTTTAGTTTATGTTAAGATGATATTCTTTAATTGGAATAAGTTCAATTAAGATGTATGATTATAATTATAATGTAAATGTCTCTCATTTTTTAAAATTTAAAAAGATTTTTGTATTTTGATTATCTCCCTTTTATAAAAGTGATAATTACCATTAATATAATTAATTAAAGGTATTTTTCTGCTTAAATTATCACCCTTTTGAATACATATGGTGAATAGGAATATGATTGTCTAGTGTTTCTATTTGGTTGAAGAGCTTGATTTTTTTCAAGGAAAATTCCTGTCTTCTGTAATTAATAGTATAAAATCATTTGGAGAAAAAATTCCAATTACTTTGATTTAATTAATCTGAATTAATAATAATTAATCTGATGGGTCTTCATGGTCAAGTGGTTAAATTGCCGATTTCAAACCTAATGGCCCTCTTTTTCACAAAGGTTCAAATCTCATCAGGGACTGGATTTTTTCATGTAAATCAAGTCTTAATCATAGTTGGCTCACAGACAGCCTGCAGTGGTTCTACACCAGTGTCCACTGTTACAGAGAAGATGAATTCCTGAGGTCTTTCTCCATAATTATGGCCTTCAGAGTCCATGATTAACTAAAAACTCAACATTAGACATATTTTGTATTAAAATTCAAAAGTTCAATTGTTCTTGCTTTATAATTTATAATATTCACCTATGACCCATAAAACACCGTTAGGACTGCCAACAGATTTTTTTTATGTAAGAAAGTCTGGAATTTAAAACAAGGGGTGTAGTGTTTATCTTATACAGACAGATGATTAAATAAATTAAACAAGTGCATTTTAGAAAAGTAGATATTTGTATATCAGTTATCTCAGAAGATCCTGCTAATTCTCCGAGAAATTTAAAAAATCGGGCCTGTAGATTGTCTGGATTTTTTCCCCCCTCTTTTTTTTTTTCCCTCGGAAATTGAGGTAATTGTGTTATAGTGGTTTTGGAGTTGTGTGTAATGTTCTTTTATACATTTTTATCATTTGAAAAAAAATTGGTCGCTCAATTAAGTGAAATGGTCTCAAATGTAATAATTGTGATGGTCAGGGTTAAGTCTTTTCCTTGACAAGAAGCCAATTACATTGATAGTGTTTAGTTTCAGACATAACAACAAACCAAGAAAGAATTATAAATGGCCCGATGTTGTTGGCTAGTTTGAGATATATGATCCAATATTACATATTAATTATATTTGTATAGCAGATAATAAAGTGTTCTATAACTACATAATATTATTCATCAGATAAATGACACTGAATATGAAATCATTTAGAAATTTATCAACATTTTTTTTCCAAGCAGTATTTTATAAGAATGTCCAAAATTAATGATACATTTCTATAGTTTTTATCAATATTTGAAATACTTCTGAAAAATGTTTTAATTGTAGATCAATTCACTTTGAAATCACGCTGATACTATAATGGTCAGTTTGGCAACTTCCCAGCATTACTCTGGGGCTGCCTTCCATCTGTACCCTTGTTGTGATGCATGAGCAGACACTTGAAACTGCTGAGCTTGTAGGTGACGGTAGGTCTTACCTGGACAAACTGACTGAATAAATTTGTGTTTCCTAAAGACAATTTGTAGTACCCACTGACCTACAGCAAATTAGCTGGAAAGCTTTGTCATAATGTTATGTTATTATTCACCAACATTTTAAAATCATTGCACCAAAAAATTCCAAGCATTAATTCTAAAGCGTAAATTGCACTATTGCAATTGAGAACAAAATGGAATAATAAAATTGTGAAGATGAAGTGGTAACTGCTAATGACAAAAACACAAGGGTGGGAGTATAATTTACAACAATTTTCTATTAAATCGCTTCATGTTTTATTTCCCCTCCTAATAAAAGTCAAGTGAAATTGGGCACTGTAATGCAAACCCATGAATTTTGATTCCAAATTAATGAAATTCAGACTCCACATTTCTTCATGAGGCTTCCCTGCCTGTTAAAGATAGCAGGGCTGTTTTGAATAAAGGCCAGCATGAATTTATCATTTGGTTTTGTTTTTGTAATGTTCAGCCAGTTGAAGCTGTGATTAGGGCTTAAACTTAACCTGCTGGTGAGAAGTGAATATACTCCATGCCACCAGTGCAGACTAAGATCAGCTGAACATCTGTACCATGTGGTCATAATCTGCACTGTTGGCTATTTAGTTTATACTTCCTTTTGAATTTTCACTAGAAAAGATGAATGGTTTTGTCCAGATTGGAAGATGGACAAGTCCATTTAAGATATTGAGGATGGTTAGGGTTAAATTATTCATTGATTTGAATTCAAAATCAGAAGTAAGCAGCCAAGATGATAGAATCTGGTCATACTGGTGTTTACTGTTTAGTAATATAAGAAGTCATTAAAAAAATTTGTTTGTATTGGTATTTTTCTTTGCACTCTTTGGAACAAGTCTGGATCTAAATTCAGAAATTAGGAAAAAGAAGGAAAAACATTCTCCAAAGATGGCATCTGATCTCTTTTGTTATACATCTAAATACACTACATACATTTTGTGTGAAGTGGCTTCTTAAAGTTTATAAAATTTTAAAATATTTGGAAATAACATTTTTAGCATTATTATACAATATTGGTGAATTAATTCCCACAACTTCTAAATTATTCTTTAAAGGCATGCCTGACAACCTGCAAAAGGGTTGTATTTACTGTGCCCTAAAGCGCTAATGTATTAACCCTTTGTACAAAATGGTCTTAAAACAGGGGTTTGACTGTATGGTATCAGTATCGTGTCTGGTCGAAGCTCCCAACTACTCTATTTTAATAAATCTTTTAATGTAATGGATGAGTTGACATTGCTAAAAGCCTATTTTGACTGTTTAAATGAGATTTAAAGGCAAATAACAAAATCATGACTGAGCGGTATTAGCGGTTAATTTAATTTCAATAATGAGCCATGCTGATTTTATTGGATTAATTTGAGACAAAAGGGGAGGGGGGCATCATCCATCCATCACTAACGGAGACTTTTGAGATGTAATAGACCGTTATTACTACCTTATAAATCATACTGTGACACAGCAGGTTATGATGAGGAAAAAACGATTGTCCAAATAAAAAAACGATTGTCCGAATATAATCGCAAAATGTTTGTACCGTCTGTTATATTAGATTTTGTCATAGTCAACTTTTTATATTAGCACTTTAATGACTGGCAATGTAATGCTAAATGTGTCCTACATTAGTTATAGAGCATTCCAACTGTGAAGTGCTTTAAGAACGATTTGAACAAAGCATAGTTTTTTGACCCGTTTTAAATAAAAATTTCAATTTTCAGGACATGTAGCTTCTAAAATATGTTGCTAATTTTCAAATCTATTAAAGGCTTTATAAAGACAATAATCTTCAGTCATTATGAATTTAAATTATCAACCCAAAAAAATTTTTTAACGAGACTTCCTTTTATCTGCTTTAACATATTTTTTAGCATCCAATTCCAAAAATATTTCCACAAAAAATCTTCGATTACAAAACTGCATAAAAAATTCACTACAAAAATGGGTAAATATTGAGAAAATTCAGGAGGGTAGAATCAACAATTTGATTTTCTTAAAAGAAGCTTTGAATTTTATATAAAAGTTTAAAAAGTTGAAAACTTATGGTACAATGCACTGTGACCTATTTTCTATTGTCTCTTGAAAAATCTTGCCTTTTCAGCATTTTTACGTAGGGTTAGATAAATATAGAGCTAGATGGGGAAAAAGTTGGTAAAACGCCGAAGTTATGAATTGTTTGTTAAGTTACCAAGTTATATGTCTTTTTTTTGGAAGATGCCTATTACATAATTATAGCGTATGGCAAATTTTCTCGTTTGTATTGTGGGCAGCACAGACGACCTGTCTATTACTTGTCTCCGCGTCATTTATTTCTGGAAAGTATAAAATGTCTTCTGATTGCAGGTCAAATAACGGGAAAAAAAAATCGAGACAACAATCAAATTCAGCTATGATAGTTATAATGATGAAAAGGTTTAAGGTTTACGATGCCCCCAAATTAATTATTATAGATATTTAACGAATGTAGAGTCATATAAAAACAAACCATCTGGCTTAAAATTTTTTTTCGAAAGATTTAATTCAATATGCCATTTAGGATATTTTAAACTGAGGGCAGGAAAGGACTAAGAGAAACCGTACTTCACAGCCTAATAGGTTAAGACTATTTATTAAAGTCAACTAGTTTCAATCATAACAATGATCTTCATCATGACCATAATATTTTTGTACATGTTTAAACTCTTTGAGTATACAAATTTTGCAGCAAACTCTTTAACTAATCCATGTAAAAATGTAATCTTCATGTTTGATTTATTTATTTATAATTTGTTGTTATTGTTGTTTTCCAGCAAGTGGGCTTCAGGAGTTTATAGAACGACCTCAAGATCTCAGCGTTGTAAAAGGTCAAACAGCGGTTTTGAAATGTGCCGTAACAAACAGGGTCGGAATGATACAGTGGGGGAAAGGGGAGATAAATCCGATCATGCTTGGTAAGTTGAAACTAAAAATCTTGTTAAATTGAATATTTTCAAGGGGATGTGTGGTTAAGCTAACGTGGCCTCTTATCCCAGGAGTCTTTGATGTCTGGGACATGCCTATACTTCTAGTTCTAGGGAAGGTGTTGTCATGGTAACACAGCCCCTAATCCAAGGACTTGGTGGATTTAGATGCCACTGTCTGGGGTCATGCCCATAATTCTTCATATAATGACATTAGTACAGATATAGTAGGTTCTTGTAGTGTACTCCAAATAAGTTGCAAGCTTTCTTCACTATTGATATCTTTCTTAATAAATTATTGAAGTTTGTGAAATAATCACTGTACTTCCTGCTCGTTATAAATGCATGTTTTATCAATTTATTCTCCCCTTAAAATTGTCTTGGTATATAAATGCCTTATATTTATTAAGTTTTTATTCAATTTCCCATTACATGTAATTCTATTTGCAAACAATTGAAATTCACAGCTGAGACATGCTATAAATAACCATGGGAATAAAAGTACTAGTAGAGTTTATTACCCTTCCAGAAATTTTCCGCCTTTTTGATTGGATATTGATCACCCGAAAGAAATTGATATAACCGAGCCAGACGGGTAATATACACACTAAATTTCCCCGTTTGGTACCCAACGTTGTAAACAATATGCGCTGAGGTGATGCGCGTACGGTTCGATTTTACGCGGTGTAAATTCCGATTTAAAAGCACTTTTTAACTGTCAAATGATAAATATTTACCAAAGTTGAGTAATGATACATATAACCATCAGTATCGAAAACAAATATGACCTTGTGAAAGCTTGATATTAATTACAAAAAAGCGCGTTCAACAGACTACTCCTTTTCTATTATTTACTTTCGTAAGGTACGGGAAAAATACGTCATGTATTTATGTGACGTCATGTTGTGACGAAGAGGTATCCTAAAGGGAATCTTATTTTGACGTTTCATTTGAAACACCAATGATTTTTTTAAAAATCGTCTAAACTCGGCAGGGGAAGGGTAATAAAATTATTATTTTGGTTTTGGAGTGATATATGTGGATATATTACCTGTCAAGATAAAATATCACCCTCGCCTAACGGCTCGGGTGATATAAAATCTTAACAGGTAATATATCCACATATATCACTCCAAAACCAAAATAACATATAATGTACTTTTCAATGATAAATTGTTTTATTTTAAGAGGTCATGTCATAATAGTCCTGTACTTATGAAAATGCATTCCAACGTTTCTTTTTCTGTGTAGCGGAGATGTAGTATTCAGCATTCAGCAAGTGTTTGGAAACATTTTGTTGACAGATTCAGAATGTGGCCAAGCAGTGAAAAATTAATGTCACAAATCAGATCCTTTCTATTGCATTACACTTGAAAGTTACACAAAACATCAAAAAATATTCGTAGAGAAGTATTTGGATGTTATCCAGTAAACAATTTACGCGATAGAAGATGAGGTACCTGCATAACTAGATCTGTCGATTACCCACGTTCCCCCGTTTTAACAATTATACAAACAACGTAAAAGCACTTAAAAAAGCATACTTATTGTATGGAATGCAACGGTTTTTTTATACATCGTACACAAAAAATGGCTGTCATGCTATTTGATGCAAGATTAGCCAAAGATTACACGACATTTACATTGACGTTTAAATTAAGACAACGTTACTTACTTATGTTGATGCATTGATAAATGTAACTGAACGAGGCATTCGCAATATCAAGAAAAATAACTGTTCGCAACCTTGTCATTTTCATTTGCCATTGTCAGATTCGGGGAATGTGCAGTGTTTGTCATATTACAGTATCGGAGGGTTATTTATGCATTAGATGCAGTAACAATCTGGTATACACATGGAATGTTTTAGCATGTTCGGAATTATCTCGGAGTTGATTTTTTTGTATATATATTTTTACACAGATTTTGTAAATGCTTTCGATAACATGTCAAAATAATGATATGAATACAACAATATGGCTGTTGTATTATCATACAGATACATAGTTACCTGTCAAGTCCAATATCATAACATACACAATGAATTAATTATGTTTTAAATACTGTACATGCTTTTTATTGTTGGCATATTTTTTGCTGGTATTTTCTCATTAGATGTTGTATGTTCTATAGGGAAGTGATGGGAAAAAAATACCCCAAAAATCATTTTATATGCCCTTTTAGTGAGGTTGGATGGAGAATGAGAAAGTGCAGAAAAATTATGTTTTTGTTTTTTGAATTTTTATTTACATGAGGGTACCGTATAGTAATAATTTAGTGTTTTTCATCAAACTGTCAGATGAATTTTGGTAATATTAATATTGGTAAACAAAGGCTTTATATATAAATGTAAAGCACCATTGAACAGAAACTTCTGGTTACTTTGTCTGAATTTTATTACCCATCCTAAAAAACAAGGGAGTGTCAAATCATAGAAATGTTATTCTTTTTAATTGGTTTGGTTCATTCTTTTAACTTATTCTAAGAATCCGGTTGAAAGTAAACAATGGTAAAGTTGTTAAGATTTCTAGATATTTTTACATTGGAACACTGTTATCTTGACTGGTTAACAATTTACAGTACATCATTTCTGGAAACCAAATAAAAGAATTGTGTTAGGTAAAGTTGATGTGGGTGTTGAACAGCATGCATTTTCTACTTAGCATTTTGCTTTCTATCATTGAAGATTCTTTATATATCTAAATGTTTTATTCCCTTACCATTTTGAAAATATAACTTACAAGAGTGTTGTGAGTTTAAATTTAAAGTAGTTATATTGTTTTTATTATAGGGGATTTTAATTCATAACTGCCGAGTGCTGAACCTTGAACACCCTTGAATTAAGAATGGACTGTTCCAATATAAAAGTGGACATGTTCATTACACTAATTTGAAGGGGGAATAGGTTTAATATAATAAAAGAGAACAATGGGATTATCAGTATTGACATTGCAGTGTCTTTATCTTGACAGGATATAAGGTTTTCCCTAGTCAAAAATCTGGCCACCAATTTCATTAGTCTTTAATCAAGTTTGACAGATTTCTCAGTATGCAATTTTTGTTGCAACCCCAGGGGAGCGTTTCAGGCTCATTTGCAGCTCTTTGAGCCTCTTGTAATAATTCATTAAAATTCCGAACCCATCTTCATAGAATTGCCAGTGCTAAGCTTCTGGAGAAATTGCATTGGAATTGACATAGTGTGCACAATTTTTTATAAAAATTTTTTTTTGAAATATCATCAAAAGAATTAAATTATTCTGAGCACTTTTCAAATCTGTCAGGACTGTCTTAAAATAGATCCCATTTTAATGCAGGTTTTAATTGGAGTTCTTTAAGTTATGAAAATTAACGAACATTTGTGTTCTTGTAAAAAAGAAAAATCTTGGGGGGCGAGTTTGATTTTAAAAAGATTATGAGAAATTATTGGGAGTATCACCCGTACTTTACTTATTAAGATACGTTCTCGATTAAAAGGTATCGATTTCCAAAAATAAACGCTATGGATTATTTCAATGATTTTATGACTTTTCCTTCCGACAACATTATTCCTCGGAGGCGAAATGTTTTTATTCATTTTTAATATGATTTTTTACGAGGCAATCAGAAGAAAAGCTCTTTTCTGAGAAAATATCTGATATATTGAGGATCATTATTTGATTTTGATTGTATTGAAACCGGAATGCATTCTTCTTATATCGTACCAGACATCAAGTTGGTGGGGGAAACGTTTTTTCTAATCAAATCAATATCACGGGGGACCGATAAATAAGCATTTTCTTCGCTTGCAAAACTCATAGAATGTGGACTAACTGACATTGATTCGGTCCTATATTATTTGAATCAAATAGATGCAGAATTGAATATCTATGGAGATTTTAGTCCAGTGATTTATTTACTGAGGAGATCAATGACTTTATATAGAGTGGATAAAATGCCTGATAAACATCAGGTTATAGGTCAGACTGCAAAGACATTTGACACTGTAAGTGTTGAATACTGTGAAAGAGGTTGAATGTTGCTTTATGGTTACAGTATGTGACTGTATAGAGACTGTATGATGATAAAGCTTTTTGAAGGACCCGAAAATAGAAAATCATCATGATGCAGTGTTGAAAGAATTGTTAATAGTGTAATAAAACAGAATATACATGTTAATTAATTGCATAGACTCTCTCTTAAAAGGTTAAAATGCAGTGGTGACATGGCTGATTGGTTAACACGTCAGTGTACCGTGTGGATTCAAAGCTGCAACTTCTGTGGGCAAGAATCTTTACACCAATTGCTTAGTACTGGTTGGTTCCAGGAACAGATTCGAAATTGTTTCATTTAAAGCTTTTAGTTCCAATACAATCAAACTAAAATTAATTTGTATTAACTAAAAGGTTAAAATTTTCTTGGCCAATTTTCATTAAATTATCATGTAACAGAGAAATGTGTGACAATTCTGTACATATTTAATGCACAAGATCTTGAAAATAAATTTTCTTCCGACCATATTCCATGCTTCTAAGCACCTTGTAGTCATCAATGGATAAAAAGTGATGCTGCAATCATCTCAGACACCCAGATTTTATTGCTTTAATATCAAGCTCTCCCTTGCGATGATTTGGAGACAGTTGCTGTTGTAAGTATTATCTTAAATAAAGGAACATGGATAAAATGATTTACCATTCATTACAAAATTTAGATTGATCAGTCATTTCGTCTTCTTTAATTTCAGAAGTTGGCCCTTACATCATGATAAGAAAGGTTTCTTTTGTAACACACATATTACACTGCCAAGTTTGTGAAATGGGCCTTTACTTTTCTGTTTGAATTTGGAGCGATAACTTAAAGGACTTTCGCTTTTTAAATTTTATTAATTACCGTAAATTCTCCAATAAACTTTCCTCCCCTATTAAACTTAAAATCTTGCAGGCTGACGAGACTCTTATACTGTTGATAGGTAAATTTTTGCACTTTTATTACTCAAATAAAATGTGTCCTATTCA